CGCAGAATAGTCTTCTGAATTTGCTTCAAGGTGTGTGTTCACTTTGTGGCAATGTGCAACTTCCCTTTTTAAAGCAAAAGGCCTGAAAATTGTACTTCCAATAGATCCATCACTAAGCTGCTCAGTCAGTTGCTTCCTCACCCATTTTAAATCAAAATAATCTGAGAGCTCAAACCATCCTGGAACAGTCTGGTTTAAGTTAACTGAAGTGCCTTAGAGCTCATAAAAAGCAGCTGAGCCAATAGATGACAGAGGGGCTGTGGGCAGGAGAGATGTGGAGACTGTGCCCACCTTTTCAGTGGGCAGAGCCACGCTGAGGAGGTCAGAACAGTTTGTGTCACTCAGCAGGAACCACAGAATTAATATAGCTTGATAGAAGCTATACCAAAACCCATCATCTTCTAAGATGTACTTTATAAATTTTTAGTATTTTGAATTCCCTGTGCATTATTCAAAAAATCCTTTCGTACCGTATCAAAGAATAACCAAGTTTAACAAAGGGTTGAAATTCAAATATGTTTCAAAGGTAAAGGTATAAAGAATGTTACTAATGACAAAAACAGGTACTCATTTGTGATTCTTTCTTTTGTCCTCCTCAAAACCATATGCTATATAAAAACCCATACTCTTTCTTCTTTCCAAACCCACCTAAAATTTAAATTCTTTCTCAACTAAACCCACTTTCAATACCACCATTTACTTTCACCAGTAGTGAAATACTATTTTACCCTGTAATCTTGGGATGCCTGTACTGCATACCTTTTGCATATTCTTAAAACAGTCTTCATCAAAACACTGCATTAATTTTCCATCATCCTCTGAATTAAATTCTCATAACTCTAGCTCCCAGATACATTTTGTAGACCGAGAGATGGAGGAAACAAGGCCCTTAAGTACCATTCTAGTTAAGTACACCTCTCCAGTTAAAGCCATTTTTCCAGATTCAATCTTTCTGCAATGTATGTAAGGAAATTAAATCAGTAATTTTTTTTTTTAAACCAAACATTAGGGCAATAGAAGGCTCCTCTAACACTTTTTTTTTTTTTTTTAAAAAAAAAAAAAAAAAAAAAAACACAAGGTAGCTTGTTCAGGAGACTATTTCCAGGTATGTGAAACAGATGATGTCCTTGAAGTGTCACCAACAGGATCTGCATAAATTGCATTAGTTTAACATTTATCTGAATTCAAAATGGTGCCAAATTTAACAGGAAAAACCCACGAACTCCCAGGGCTGATTACTTCATGTACTTGTACACAGCTGGAAATAAGCAATCTCCCATTTACCTTATGCAAACACACAAGCAGCACAGCAAAAGGTACCTATTCCTTGAAGGCTGAGCACAGAACACACTCAATTGGGAGACACTTCACAGTAGCCTACCCTTCAGTGATGAAGGTCAGCGATTTCATCCTTACCACCACCCAGGTAATCAGCCCAACGCAGCACAGCAGCTTGCTGCCACTGGTACCACATCAAAGAGAAAGCCTGTTAGCTTCCAGGTTTTTACATCTTTGCTGATGCAGAAAAGCTGGTCTTGGAATGAACTAACAGCTAACATCGAATATGCATTCTTTTTAGTCAGTGCACAATTTGAGCTTATAACTGGATTAAGCAGGTTGTTTCTAACTACCTTCAAATTTCAGTCAATCTGTACGTGGCACTGCAGGGAAATCTCTGGGAAGAGGCATCAACAGGAATGCCGTTTCACTTTAACTGTCCTAACATTGTCAAACAATGCCACACTACCACACTTAAGTAGAGATTCACATATGTCTCACTGAATTGCCATCATGAAATGTTAATAGAAGAAAAAAAAGATTGCCTTAGTACAACCTATAGCATGCTACTGAAATCTCCAAACAAAAAAACCCTAGGTGCTTCATGAAAGAGATGTAGAAAAACAGATGAGACAAGGGAATTCAAACCCCCAAAAATGCACTTCTTGTATGAACCTCTGCCAGACTAATTTCTAAGAATGACAGAAGAAGCTTAAATTAAACAAAATCATGCAGTAGTTAGGTGGGAAGAAATGAAATTTTTTCTAGTCCAGAAGAAAATGATACAGTGATCAGATAATAGTTACTCAAACTGTTCAACCCTTCACCAAATTACAGTAATGCAGAAATACAATTACTCTCTACAGTGACCTATCAAATGAAAGTAGTATTAAGATTAGAACTAAGCAGTAAAATCAGAAATGAAACTTTCCAAAATTCATTCTGTGTAATCTTTAATATATGGTAACACTCAAGACTAAAAGAAATCTTTTTGTGTGTGTGCGCGGCATATAAGAAAAATTCAGCATAAAAGAACTGACAGAACATATTCTATATCTTTACAACCAAATAAAGAAATTACTTGCTTTAGTTTAGATAAGGAGCAAAGAATGCTCTCAAGATCACTTTCATCCCCCAAGTGACCTGGCTGTACATCCTACATTAAGGCTATAATCTCAGTCTTATCTATCACTTGCTTAGCTTAATTGTATCATATCATTAATATTATTAATTTCTGCCATTGCCCATAAAACTCAAAGCCTCATGCCAATTCTGTAAAATATATAGGTTGGAACTGAATTAAACACAGCACACAGTGAGTTGCGTAAGACCATCAAAGTGCTATGAAGCATCAAGCATCTAAGTATTTTAAAAGACAAAGCACCTATCTTTATTCTTTTGACCCTAGAAACAAGGTAAGAAAAATGCATGACCAGAATTTGTGGGCTTTCAAAATGCTTTGAATCCAAGTAGAGCTGCACTGCATTTGAACAGGTCTCGCAGAGAATGGACTTTTCAGATATTCTTCCCCAACTTTTAAAGAAGGGCAGAGCTAGATAAAATGCTTCTGTACCAGTAACCTACAGAAAGCAAAAGACATGCTCAGAAAGCTAGTCCCAAAAGCAGGGGGGAATCAAATGCAAGGTGCAGCTTAAGGTACAGGTAGAAGGTAACAGTGCAAAGCAAGCACTGACAATGTACCCCCAATATATCAGTAAACAAATGCTGCACCTTAGTATTTTACACAGACATGGTTAAATATAGCTGTGATGTAATGCAGAAGTGCTGTGGATGCAAATATAAACCTTTCTTCATACTCCACTTTCCTAAACAGAAGACTTTAGCTGTTCAATACTGAGCAGCTCAATGATAAACTTGCTTTGAAAACTGGTTCTCCCTTCTTAGTAATTTTTTTTTTATAAACTCAACTGACCTTCTCCAGTTGTTCTACACCAGAAACATCACCTTCAGTATTTATGCCCGGAGTACTAACATTTGTCAAACTGTCATACATTGTGTTGATAGAGAAATAAGAACTCTGCTAAGACACCTTTACATAACTATTCTTATACCATGAAGTATAGGGACCTACGGGGGTGATAAACAGCCGGCTGAACATGAGCCAGCAGTGTGCCCAGGTGGCCAAGAAGGCCAATGGCATCCTGGCTTGTGTCAGCAATAGCGTGGCCAGCAGGGACAGGGAAGGGATCTGAGCCCTGTGCTTGGCACTGGGGAGGCCGCCCCTTGATGAGTGGGTTCAGTGTTGGGCCCCTCACCCCAAAAAGGCCATTGAATGACTAGAGTGTGGCCAAAGAAGGGTAATGGAGCTGGGGCAGGGTCTGGAGCACAGGTCTGCTGGGGAGCGGCTGAGGGAACTGGGGGGGGTGTTTAGTCTGGAGAAGAGGAGGCTGAGGGGAGACCTCCTGGCCCTCTGCAACTCCCTGACAGGAGGGTGCAGAGGTCTGTGGATGAGCCTCTTCAACCTAGCAGTAAGCAACAGGACAAGAGGTAATGGCCTCAAGTTGCGCCAGGGAAAGCTTAGACTAGATGTCAGGAAGTATTTATTTGCAGAAGGGGCTGTTAGGCTTTGGAATGGGCTGCCCAGGGCAGGGGGGGAGTCCCCATCACTGGTGGTGTTTAAGAGTAGGGTCAACTTAGAGCTTAAGGATCTGGTGTAGATCTGTCAGTGTTAGGTTAACGGTTGGACTGGATGATCTTCAAGGTCCTTTCCAACCTAGTTCATTCTGTGATTCTGTGAAGTGTTATCACATGATATAAACTAATACCTTATTTTTTTGTCATAGAGGTTTTGCCTATAGAAAAGCCTTCCTTTACGGTTGTCGAGTGATTAAATTTGTCCCTTCAGAACTACTTTTAAGACAAACTTTCCAGTACTAAAATCCATTCTAAAACAAGTCAGTTAAACTCTTACAAGGACACTGCATGTAAGAACCACTCTTAAATGCCCATAAATTCTAGCTGAATAATTTTAAACCAATATTAAGATCCAATTAATAAAAACTGTGACAGATTTCCTCATGAAATATAAGAAAGGTGAAGAAGCTGAACTTCTAACTTTATTTCTTCTGGCTCCTGAACAGTTCTACCTTATTTACACAGATTATGTAAGTAAGATATCTTAAAATCAATGTTATCAACATTTCAGTGCTGTTTCTAGTAAAAACGGGTTTCAAGAATAAATGAAACAGTCATACATACACAATAAATCAGGGTATTACTGAAGTACTCAGCGTTTATCTTCTGTCAAGCTCCTCAAAAAAATCAGTATATTTAAGGATTACAAAAAATATTTTATATATGTCCTTTTTAAGACCTAAATAGTAGTATTATAGGTCAATTTTCAGATGTTTTTAGCCATGCTGTGACCTTTGTCTTCATTTAGAAAAGTGTATGGCATTGACCATATTTAATATTATATGAGCACAGCAGCTTTTAACCATGCTCAAGATGTATTATATAAATATTCAAATGAGGAATCTGCTTAAGAAATTATAAGTAGTTTGAATAGTAAGTAAGAGTAGCGCATAACAATATAATAGAATTGGGGAGTTGGGGTTTTTTTTGTTTGGTTGGTTGTTTTTTAGTTTTCTGTTTTAAACAGGGCACAAAACCAACAGGGTCTTTAACTGATCACACAATAAAACTCTTGTGAAAAGTCATCTGGGGATCTGTTCTCTCTGAAAATTAATTATTCGACCTACCTTGAACCGTAAGTTCTGCCTGAGCTTCGATGGTCTCATTTCCATTATCCGCTCTGCAGGTGTATGTCCCAACATCCGCTTCCGTAACATCACTGATCTCCAGACTTCCTCCCGCGAGCAGAAGGTATCTTTCATAGCTGTGCAAAAAAGGACATACGGGTGATCTGATGGACAAACTTAAATGAAGTGTTACCAGAGAAGCACACACAAGTTTTCTGCCTGAAATGTCTACATAAACTGAATAAGTGTTTATATATAGTATTTCTGAGAGTCATTTACAAGGAGCCACGTTAGAGAGGAGTTTTTAACTAGATGGTCAAATTCCATACTTTGGCTTTACACTTAAAATTAAGTTCAACTGTATCAATTCCACAAGAGCAGCTCATCTTCTTGCACTTTCAGCTTCAGTTCTTCTAATTAAATGTGATCCAAGCTATTTAGACAACAGGAACTAAAACTTAAGAAAAATAAACCAACACGACCACATCATGAAAACAACCCAAACATTTTGCAGGTACAGCTGGAATGACTTATTGCTTGAAAAGGTGAGTAAACAATAACATGCCAGACTTATGCCTGTACAACATAAGGAACAGCAATGTACATTGTATAACGTTTAGCAATTGAATTTTTGTAAAAATATAGCCATTTCATGAAGATGTAAGATAAGATACAGGTTAAAAAAATTTCAAAAGGTATTCAGTAAGTTGGCAAAGTTTCTGTATGAATTTTCTCCTCCCTCTGACTTGTAAAGGGTGAGGGCTTTATAAATCACCCCTCAAATTATCTGCTTTTTACGCTAAATGTAGTAACTAAACGTGGCATTCTGTGCTACATGTACTATCCTCAGCATTCTTCTCCCATTGCAACTCTTTTTATGATACAAAATCATACAAGAATTTTCCGAGATTCTTCATCCCTCCAAGCATTCACAATGAAATGCCAGTAACGTTACCAAGCTCAGACAAGAAATCACAACCAGATGCTGATCCAGAATCATTCTTATTTGCAACTGAAATAAAAGAGTCTACCTGATGGCTTCCTTTCTGGCATTATCAAGCAATGGTTTACTGGGCAAGAATGGATTGAATTCTTTCGAAATATTAACTGAACAGTACATTACAACAATTAACTCTTTTGGTCTCTATAGAGCAGCCAATGTATAGAAATCAACCTAATTGCTTTCTTTATTTGTAATTTTTCTAGAATTGCATTAGTAGAACCACTGCTCTTACCTGCTTGGAAAGGTAGATTGTTAGGACACAAAGACTTTTGACTCACCTAATTAATTACTACATTAATGTTGTTTTATGATACAATTATAATTATAGATCAAATTTCCTGATTCAATACATTTGAAAATTGAACAAACAAAATCACTATTGGAATTAAGTGAAAGAAAACAGTCTTAAAAACATCCAAGGAGATGTCTCACCGAGGTATACTACAAGGAAAAGGATCCCATTTCTGTGACCTAGTAAGAGGAGGACTACAAAGGGTTTATTTTGTAAGAAGTGCAGGAATTTTAGAGAAGATATAAAGCAGTTCAAAAAAAGGTATTAGGAGCTTTGAAAAGAGGAATGCCTGAAGAAACAGCAGAGGAGTGCATGAACAGGATGGCAAACAGCTTCTACCTGAGGAAAAGAGTAAGAAGTTTGTCATTAAACCTTTTTTTGGAACTGTTCAACAGTGGTTCAAGGACAGAAAGTAAGACAATGAGAAAATACATTATTTTCATTGTCTTTTTATTGCCATTGCTGACCAAAAAAAAAAAAAAAAAAAAAATGAAAAACTAATATGTAGAAAAAAAATAGGAACTTTAGTGATAATCAGATAGTGGAGACCTGTCTCACATGTCAAGTAAGAAAAATCTGTACAAAGGATATGTGAACAGGAGCTGCCAAAACTGTATCCCCTTCCCCCCTCCCACTTAATTGTATTCTATTTATTTAAGTTAGCACCAAAAAGAGAACCTAGAAGTCTTGGACTGCACCACCTCCAAGGCAAATCTGACCATCTAAGAAATTTCTAACTATATAAAAAGATCTAAGCAGTGCTCTTCACAATTCTCCAACCTCTTAGTTTCCCTTTGGACACTGTCAGTCCACAAACACAGAAAAGCTTTCAATGTTGTTACAGCCAACAGAAACAATGTTACTGAAGCTTATTTGTGAGAATGGCATGTTAGACATGTTAAGGCTGCAGGAAAACCATGCCTAAAGAAAAATAAATTAAGACAAGTCTGGACCTTGACACATCCAAATATGCAGGTTTGTATCGCCTTTTATTATGTAAAATAGCTTCTTTAATTATTTGTTCTAGCACTCATGGTGAATCAAATTAATGTGAGTAGCATATAATCTGTTGAAGGCTAAAATGAAAGCAGAATGGAATGGAAGCCAATTGGTAAATCAGCTAGATCCATCAGTGACAGGATACAGAACAGGAAGGCCATGCAGAAAGAACTGACTGGATGAGAGAAGCTGAGACTAACAAAATTGCAAAGGAATAACAGGCTATACAGAGTGTTAGTGTAATTTTGATGACATATAGTGCCCTTTTCTGGATATCCTCCAACTTCCATCGTTATCTATCTAAAAGTGGCACGTGCCTTATGACGGTCACGTTCGCATTGCCAGCTGCTGGGAAGTGAAGTAGCACGCCTGGTGAGGCAGCAGACTATTCTGGTTACCAATCAGCAATTAAGAAGCTATCAGAACTATTAAAAATTATCAGACGTTGTCACACTAGGCAACAAAAGTTTGTCTTATAGGATCTCAAACTACTTGTAACAGGGCAGCATTTATACGAGTTCTCCCTTTTGTCAAGAAACAAGGTTATATAGTTTTTGACCATCTAAATGATGTGTTATGCTTTTATTCTCTTTGATTATTTGCCTCAAGAAAACCTAGAGGAGAGGCCAGAATTTACCAATACATGATCGAAAACAAGTTCACGGCTGTTAAAAACATGGAAGAAAACAATTCATCTGTCAGCCTCCTCAGTGATTCCTTCTGTATGCACTAGATGTGGAAGAATTCTGGACTTAAAGCAAAATTGCCTTTCTAATAAAGTAAAAACATCTTAACTTTGTAAGGATAATAAAGCATTTCCACGAAAGAGTGAATCAATCAGATTTCAGACACTAGAGACAGAGAATCAGCTTAATATAAAAGTGATAACATGATTTAAATTGTCATTAAAAACAACAAAGATTGATCATTCAAATGTCAGGGAACAGCAAAATCAAATTCAAGCCTTTTATATGCATTCCATACAGCCCTCAGTTACACACTCATAATACACAATTACTTGAGCTACTTTGGATACCTAACTCGCATGCTTTTTTGTGTTTCATTATCACAAAATATAGTGAGCCTTTATTAATTTATTGTATTCAAACAGCCAGTTATACCCTGAGGTTTTGGTGCTTTTTTTTCCCCTCTCAAATTACTATTCCCAAAACATCTTACAATCTATTTGCAGTCTTGGTAAAGTACAGCAGATAAAATTAGACAGTAAATTAGATTATTTTGTGGATTCTACTACCAGAAAAATTTCCATAATTACTCTGCTATGTTTAACCTTTACTGAGTTGGGCAAGTGTAATTCACTTAACACAAATCACTCAGAGTGCCTGGCAAACAATAATATACAATAATTTAAAATATCACACATTTTTGTGAAGTACTAAGGAAAAAACCCTGCATTAAGAATATGTATGTGATCATACAATTAAAGACTTCATTTGAACACATACAGCAACAGCATAAAATTAATGCTGCACATGCAACCTCAGCTTTGTAATCTCTCTACTTCAGGAAATTCTTAGCCATACAACCACATTACAGTTTTCTGCAGACATTTTTCAATGACATAAAATTATAGTAAATTGAACAGCCCAAGCCCATCAAAGTTAGCTGTACTTCAACAGCCTTATTAAACTGTAATGACATTGTCCAGGGTCCTTTCAACTGTTTATTTTTAGATTAACTACCTCATTTACTCTATCTTTTTAAAGTGGTAGTGGTACATGCATTTGTAATTTCTTTCATATAAATGTCCAAATATAAATCAAGGTACACAGTATATGCTGTTTGAATACCGATCCACACACTGGAAAGGTTTCAAAGAACATAATCTTCCAAGCATCTGAAACTCTGTGCCCATTTCCCAAGCTCTGAAACATTCATCTTGGCAGACACCTCACCTGAAACTTCACTTTTCAACTTCAGAATCCTCAAAAGCACAAAATTACTCCCACATTTGCTAAAAAAACCTGACCCTCACACAGTCGAATTCTTAGCCAGACACAACATTCTAAAATAAAAATTATGAAAGGCTCAAAGCTGTCAAAATCTGAAAAACTATTCAACCTGTACACATTTCCATTATAGCCTTTTACATCAGGTAATACTGACAATAAGGCAGATTTTACTTTCTAAAGTTTTCTGTAAAAGACATAACTTTTAATCAAATAGCTGTATACTTCAGTGGCTTTTCCTGCTTCCTTCCATTTTTCTCAATATTTTCTATGTTCCTGGCAGAGACATTACTCATTCTGAGTTTCAGAGGAAATTCATCTGAAAAAGTAGAATCTATATTCACATTACGGAATCACATGTATGGCAGGCTGGGTGTGCATTCTGTAGTACCAGTCTTATAGAACTATGAGCACTATACCCCGTATCACAGGATTATACACACAGGAATTCACAGAAGTCTAAAGGCTTGCTTCTTATCCCGAAGCTCCAGTTTGGAGCTACAAGCATCAGCACCATAAATCTAGAAGAGCCTTTTCCTTTCTTTTCAGGCAATGTAGTTTTGAGAAAATTATTATGTATCATCAAGATTACTAGTTTGACTAGTAAGCCAATTCAATGAAAAGCTTTCATCACAAGTCAAATGTTTTTCCCAGTGACAGGCTATCAGGTCCAAACTGTGATTTTTATCTCTGAAATTGTGAATACAGTAAGAAAGGCCTCAAAGGAGTAGACCAAAGCCAGACAGCAATGCCCAGAGAAGGGCATACAGATGGTGGAAGCATAGAGACCCTTCCTCCAAACAGTCTCTTACTCTTCATCTTCTGAGGACTGAGACTTCCCCAAGACCCAGGCAGAACTTGGGTATTTCGTAGTCTTTGATGGACTTCTTTATGAGGAACCAGAAAGCAGCAATAACTATTACTGATATTTCTTTAAAATCTTTAATTTCTGAAAGGATTCCCTGAAGTTGTTAACAGTTGTACTACAATAGAAACTTTTAGCATTGTGTTACCTCCACCAGTTCCTCACTCAACACTCAAAGCCTCTTTCTCTTTCACTCAAATTAGTTCGGAAAATATGGTATCACAGCAAACTAATTTCACAATACACTGCATTAAAGGTTGCTTGTTTGAACAAGTACCAAGACTGCTGTCATTAAAGTTTACTTATATTTATCCATTAACATAAATCTCAATGCAGTCTTTGACAAATACACCATCAAAATTACACACCTTCTCTTTTTTCTGGTCTTAAGTAACAAATATTTATTTCCCAAACCCATCACACTCGTCCCTTAAAAATAACTTACTTTTCTTATAAATACAGACTTCTGTACATATTCTCCTTAGCAATACAGCTTGAAAGGAAAACATTTAATTTTGCATTAAATTAATACAAAGACAACTTGAGACACAGTTCAGAGAGGGATGTGTACTTGCAGCAAAAGTCAACCAGAATCCATTCTTGTAACAAAGGGACATAATGCTAAAAACTAATACTAAATATTCTGAAATATCAGGTCATACATGGTTCAAATTGTGCATATATAAAGATCAAATATGTTTACTGATGTTATGCCTCAGCTCTCCAATAAAATTTCTCACTCAATCTTGAAAAGAAAAAAATACTTGTGAAGCCATCAGAAGTTATTGTGACAACCTGCATAGAAAAGCTCATAAGGGAATTACTAGCACTGTATTCAGAACAGGATTTGAAAATTTGGGCTTTCTATCAAAAATCAAGGAAGGAGAGCTCTTCAGTAAGTGAGCTTGTAACCTCCTTGTGCACTGAATGTGACACAGTCTAAATAATCATGGGGCAGGGGGCATCAAGAATTTATAATGATATGACATGACATCATTTTACATACGAGAAAAACTAATTAAGATCTTACCAGGCACATATATTCTGACATTTCACCACATTTGATTGTGCAGCTCTAATGAGCCTGTAGCATCCTTTGTACATGAATGATTTCTTGTATTTACAAAAAAAATGAATCTAAATCATGTGCTATCAGATTGACATCAACACAATTTCTCAGCGGTATTAGAACTGTTAGTCATTATCCCCCAGAAGCTAGCACTTTCCAGATAAAGACAGTTCAAATTACAAGCCCCCGGATTTTTTTAATTTAAGAGTTGACAAAAAAGAGATGTATTACTATCACTGGTACTGTAGAGTGACTGGAATATTCCTTAGCTGCTTGCTGTGTCAGCCATGCCACAATATAACTATACCTCTCATTGTTTCACAATTAACTTGCCTCTACATTAATCTCACCACTGACTGTGAGGGACATTGAGAACATTCAAGTATCTGTTTGCAATTTCCTTGTTGTAGTAAGTATGATCATTAGATGGAGAAAAATTTTTTTGGTAAGATTTGCTCTGTTTTCTTATATGTATTTTCTACCACATTATTTTTTTTTAATCATGCCAGAATCAAGCCAGAATAATATCCTGTTTTAATAAGAAATTAGGAAATTCTGCTTTAAACACTTATTCTTAAATTCTTATGGAACATTTAGATGTATACTGCACATTTTCATTGCAGGAAGCGTAATGCAAGTGCAGGGCTTCACACACATAATATGTCAACATGAAGAAGCCTTAGCTTTTCTACAGTGTCCTTATTCTCTTAATTGCTGCTTTTACTCCAGTGGCAATCTACAAGTAATATATTCTTAATAACCTTCTTGCTTCAAGTAAGATTTCTTTGTTTCTGATGTCCGCAAAAAAAACAACAAACCTATGATATTGTTCCACAAGTCTCATGAACTACTTTACTTGTCATAACACTCAGCCTAGAAGCCCTCCAAGCATTTGAAAACTAGCTTCTGTTCTCCTGCTTTAAAATTAAGTAGAAAGTAAGTTGTGTGTTAATCTAAAATCTTAAATCTGGCTGGATTCCTACCATTATATAAAAATATATGCTAGCCGTTACTCACCCTTCTGTGATAAGCTCTTCTTCATTTCTTGTCCACCTGATAGATGGAGTTGGAAATCCTACGGCAACACATGGAAAAACCGCACTTTGCCCAGTAACTTTAGTAAGTGAAGAGGGCTGCCTCAAAAACATCAAGTTCTGTGACACCTGGGGATCTGCAAATATTTGTAAATGACAAAGTTACCAAATGTAGAAGTAGAAAATGATCATATTAAAAAACATTACAAACAAATGAAACATCTAATTCCTTCCTGCATCTTTACCAGATTCAATCATCATACCTGCATAAAGCATCTTCTCCAAGAGACTCTTCCAGCCTCCCACACAAACAGCTCTTTACCATTTCCTCCAGACATGCAAACTGATTTGCCACCACTGGGATTCTGACTCTTCAAACTCCCTGGGAAACAATTTCAGCTAAAAGCTACAGCCCTGAAACTGCAACTTTACCAGCTGGTAGATTTTGTAAAGAAAGGCCTTTGTCCAGCCATCCTCAGGCAATCACCTGACTTCATCAGGTAGCTGTCTGAGAAAGTGCTTTTACTGGAAAATTAAATTACTGCAGCAGAGTTAACCCTAAGCAAAATAAAGTAACTAGTTAAATTTGCACGCTGAAGTAACAAACTTTATACTGAAACAAAAACATACCATGGTTTTCCATCCTTACGGAAATAGTGAATCCTCTGAATTAGTTTTGGGTTTGCTTTGAACCGTGCTGGAGAGGGTTTTGCTTCTTCCCCCACCCAAGAACAAGCACAAAGTGCATATTTACTCAATTTTTTTACTACAGGAAAAGGTCACTGACTATGAGAACTGAAAACATATCCACCAATAAAGGTTGTCCAGCAGTGTACTCTAGTGAACTAAACTACAACAAATAAATACCAAGAACAAAAGGCTACTTTTCTACTTTACTAAAAATATCCATGACTTCTCAAAGTGTAACCCCTTAGGAGGAAGGTAGTAAAAATCAATTTTAACTAGAAGTGTAATCAATTCATCAAGACACCCCAGTAACACCCTTGATGAAAGATGCAGGTTGCACCCTTTGCCTCTGCAGTAACTTTAGGATGTGCCTCGCACCATTAGAGCAAATGAATTCCTACATAACAGCTATGGCACTTCTGCTGTGTTAGCTATCCTAACTCCTTCTACTAAGTACTCAAAACCCCCCAGCATTTATGCTGCATTAACTGCTTTATTCTCAATATTCAGATATGCACTTCGAAGTTTGATGACAGGTAAGCTCCAGAACTGGACAAGCCCTTAAATTATTTTTGGCCATCTAAATGGGGGCAGACTATTCTGTACCTAGACTACTTTTCCTCTCCAAAGTACATTCGGTGTCTCATCGCACACATAGTTGGCCCCTGTCTTAGCTGGGACCTATGCGATATTCGCAGGAATTTCTGAAAGTTGTTAGTTTTGTTGTTCTTCAGCTCAAGGTGCTAAAAATAACAACTGAGCATTTAGAGCACTAAGCTAAGGACATGCACGTGCTCCAAGGTATAACATGATGAGGCTGCCAGGGCATTTGAGAGAACTAGGCCCGATGGAAATCCTGTTTCAGTCTTGTCCCAGGCAGAGGCAGCCAAACTTGGAGCAATCATGGATCACACCATCTGTCTCAGGCCCACACACAAACGATCGTAGCAGCTCTGCCCACACTCCCTGTTAGAGAGAACTAGTCTGCTTGCTCCAGAAATAAGACCGTGTGTGAACAGGCGGGTAACATAGTGAGTGACCTGGAGTGGCATATGGAGCAAGCCAAGTTGCAAAAAAAAAAAAATGGATGTAACAGATTGCCAGCAAGCAATCATTACACCAGGGAGAAGAGTTGGTACGACTCACTGGAGACAGAACTCATTAATGCTCCAAGCTCACAAAAAGTTCAGTTCTCGAGTTAGTGGAAGTGGATTCAAAAATTTGGGTTTAGTTTGGGTTTTGTTTTTTTTCTTTCCCCTTGCATTCCTGTAGCTGAAAGCACCTGCTATCAAGTAGCAGAGCTTGCAAATGTAATCTCCTGTTTGCTCAGTGACAGACTGAACACTCTAACGAAGCTCACTATCACAAAAAGTAGAACACTGTGGATGCAAATCTGTGTGATGCATGTATGTGTTGGGTGTATTTCAAAGATTTAGAAGCAGAGCAATGAGGCTGCTGTCAAGCACAGATCAGATAACTATTTGAAAATGGAATAAAATGAATGAAGAACAGATTAATTCAAATCCTTCTTTCAAATACATCTCAGACCAAACAATCAATTATGGGGCCACTCAAGATTTAGAGAGCTTTCTGTGCAACAGTTTAATCCCACTTCAAAAAAAAAAAAGTCTGCTGGGAGGGATTTCACAAAACTCTGATATCAACACTTTCAGACTCATCACTAAGCAAGGAAGCAGCTCTATTTGTATTCCCTAATAAAGTTAACTTTAATCACCTTCATCAAAACATTACAAAAGCAAGTAAACTGTATCTGTAGCCAAAATAATTCAAAAGATCAACCCAATATGGAAGTTTATCAGGAAATCTTCACTGACAAAAATGAGAGAAGTCTTAAGCATTCATATGAAGGGCTACAAAAATGTGAAGGCAAACCAAGCTAAAACAGTTAAATTAAGCATCTTTTCCAAAAGCGCTCTTCAAAAACTGTATCATTACTAGGAGAGGTAAGCCTTTCTTTTCAGAAAGTCTAAAGAACTTAATGAAACAACATGATTAGTTTCCAAAGCTTAGCAAACACATCAATTTTAAAAGAGGGAAGGTTGCAGTTGTAAAACCGGGGTATTTTAAAGTACAATTTAGCATTTTAAACATAAAAGTGGCATAGTCACTAGTGCAACCACCTGCTTGAAGTCCACCTGTTGCCAACAACAGGCCAGGCCAACCATGACATTGCCCAGCCTAGCCCCGAAAGCCTCCAAAGATGGAAATCTAGCAACGATCTCTGGCTGTTCTCCAAGGAGTAAAAATTGAATCAGAATTCCAATATGAAGACTAACTCAGAAGAGACAGCATAAAGTTCTGGAAATAATTAAGAAAACCCGTATAAAACACGGCCTCTATTTGCCTAGTTTGGGAAAGTGTGATTCACATTCCTGCCCTATTCTTGGTCAATTTTCAAAACTGTGGTAGAACACCTGGTGACACACAGCTCTGTGCCATAGTGTCATTTAAAACAGAACACACTAAGTGTAGAAACAGTTTACATCAGGACTGGACTTTTGCTCTTATTAAAAAAAAAAATAAAATCTAAACATTTCAGCACAACAGGCATAGCCAAACCTTTCAAAAGAAAAAGTCAACCCCCTCTTTTTGGGATCTGGAGACTTCCCAAAAGGGTCCAGTGTTTAAAGAATCAGAACTGCGTAAATATTGGGGCAACTAAAAGGGCCTCAGCTTAAGCATCCCAAGAGCAAGGGACTAAGCACCAATTTCTTTTGAAAATTTCAACAGTATTTTAAACATGGGATTGAACCCAGAGAAACTCAGAAATCCCCAAACATTTATACTCAAAGAAACATCAATCCCCTCTTTGTAACATGTCATAATGGAAGTCTATTACTAGTGACTTTTGTAAAGAAGTCTTTTCCAAAAAGCCCTTAGAAGCTAAACCATTAAAAATGGCAAAAAGGTAGATGTGTATGCCTGGCCTGTCTCCAACCACTGCAAAGTGCTCAGTGGTAACTGATTTTGCTTTTGTTTCCCAACTGCAAGATACAGGTTAGTCTTCCCAAGGACCAAAATCCTGCAATGCCCACACTCATTTTAAACTACACAGAAAAAAAAACCAAAACCAAACAACCCAACCACCAGCTTCCACAAGACATATTACACTTAGTTCAACTTAAAAAAACATACTTAAAAACTTAAAAAATGCAACAGAGCAGATTGTCATTTGTAAGTATTCTTGTTAGGTTTTCCTCCCCTATTGCTTGACTAATGTTTTGATTATTGTTTTTTTTAAAAAGAAAAACAGATTAATACCTGGAAGAATTTTGAGTTCTGCTTCATCACTGTATTTGGGGGTTCCACCACTTTCAATGATGCAGCGATAGACTCCTCCATCCGTATCACTAGCATTGCTAATAATTAGAGCTCCACTTGGTAATTTAAACACACGATCATCCAGAAAGACTGGCTGGCGATCCTGCTCCCATCTCACAAACGGTGCAAGGTCAACATTGACTTCACAGTTAAGGATTGCACTGTTTCCTTTATAGACAGATGATGATTCTGGCTGGCTGGTGAACCTGGGAAGGCCTGCAAATAGAAAAGAAAAAAGTAACAAATTAGAGGTAATCTGAAGATGACACCAAACCTTTGGAAGTCCAAGTCAAGATTCATGAATGAAGTTTTTAAAAAATTCAGCTACTCTTCCAATGCTTTAAAAATCTTAACATTTGATAGCACAATGCTAAACATAGCTGGTCTAAAGGCAAATAAACCCAATAATAAAAGAAAAAAGTAGTTTTAGAAGATAGCACATGCTGACAACAAAATAGAAATCTTTTGAGTCCTCAAAAATGGGAGGAAACATGCAAATAAACTGCTCACTTCTCCAGGGTTGCTGCTATCCTTCAGGAGTATATAGCACTGAAGTGGCAAAAATCAAGACAGTGTCTCTGCCTGGTACATCTGAATAAATACAGTTTGAACCACATTCTGTAAGAGGTACGGATTTACTTGCAGTAGAACACAGATGCCCCCTAGTACTCACTCAGGAGATAGTAACAAGGAGATAAGTTCTATGCCTTCCACTCTCAAGTTTATACCCTACACAACATCTTAATGTACCACCTACAGCTACAAAAAGCCTTCTGTATAGTGCCATAAGGTAAAAATTGCATTTGTTCCCAAGGAAGTATTTATCTTTCTCATGTTAGTGGACCTGAGAACCGAGTTTCTCCACAGCATAACACAAAGTTACCACGGCAGCACTGCACAACGAACTCATCACCTTTTGAGTGAAAATGTTCTCTAGAAATACCCAAAGTCTGCTGAATGGCTTCACCTTTTGGGCAGCCATGTCCCGGTGCTCAGTGGGGGACCTGCCAAGGCGGCCTCTGTGACAAGAGGCTGAGGACTCCCAGTGCTGGACACGGCTGGGGCTGGTTCCAGCCATTTCCACAGTGGCCCCCCAGAGGCCACGGCTGAGCAGCCAGCGAAGCTGGTGGCACCTCTGTGAAAGCATATCCAAGAAAGGGGAAACCACTGCAGAGCAGAGAGGAAAGTGTTGAGAAACAGCCCTGCAACAGGCAGGTCAGAGGACGAGGAGGGAGAGGAAGAAGGGCAGCTCCAGGTGCTGCCCTGGGGGCACCAGGGTAGAGCAGGAGGCAGAATAATTCGGAATGAAGGTGGGAAGTTGAGCCTGGGAAATGGGAAAAGGGCAGGGAGAGGTGTTTCAGTTTTTGTCTTTGTTTTCTTACCACCCAACTTTATTTTAATTGCAAGAAATTAAATTCATTTTCCCCAAGTCAAGGTTGTTTTGCTCATTACAACAACTGGCGAGTGATCTCCCATTCTTGACTCACCAACATTTTAATCTTTTTTCCCCCTCCATCCTGGTGAGAGGCAGAGTGGGAGAGCAGATGGGTGGGCAGCCAGCAGCCAGCCAAGGTCAACCCACCACAAATATTTTGCACAACTTCCCATAACAGGGAAGTATCAGATCTTCCAACTGAAATACCCTGTCCATCATTATTAGTACAAGCAAATGGTTCAGTAAAGGCAACAGAATACAGTATGAGGGAAGAAGGACAAAGCATAGGGCAGGGAAAAGTAAAGCCTCCTCACTCTCCATTTTCCATGGTGGTTAGCTATCTTACCAGCTCTCCCTTTTGCAGCTTGCACAGAGGCAGTTGTACAATCAACACCAACATGGGGCAAGGCAGAGCTTGCTTACTGCAGTAACAGTCTCAAAGTAAAATTTTAATTCTTTTTTATGCTTGCACTTAAAACTAACATTGTTATAGAAACAGCTCGTCAGTACTCTTGACATCTTACCTTTCCCTCTCAACAGCACACAGCTTCAAGTATATATTATGAATTTTGTCTTTATAGTCAGTACACTGTGTGCCTTCCATATAAAAGAGGAAAAGTGGGACTCCGTGTTGCACAAATTAAACCATCCTAGTACAATTATTCAAGTATAAGAATAGAGCCTGCTGGCAAGCAGCAGGTTCTTGTAACCTCTAATTCAACGCTATTGCACACAGCCAAGACCCCAGATCAGAAAACACAAACACAAGCTCTCTTTGCAGGCGATACCTCAGTCACGATTATACATGAATGAGGCTGGGACAGCTTAGGTCAGCTTTCACTTTTCCCACTTCTTTTAGCAAGCCTAAGGGTGAAACCCCTTATTTATTATCTTCCATTTTCCAAAGTTTGACCTAATTGGAAAGTTTCTCATTTATCTCTTGTGAAGATGATTCTTTTGACATTAAGACACTCATTTCCAAACAGTTCAAGCCAGCATTTTTACAAGTCTTACTTAACACCTATCAAAAACACACTGAGAATTTAACAATAGTAGGACAAATTTTTCTATATTTTTAAATGTATTTATTTATACCTAGTTCAGTGCCTTTCAATTCCTTCTTCCTTTGAAAATGGATAATAAGCAATCACTCAGATCAGGAACTTAAACTTGATGTTGAAGCATGCAAAATACACATGGATATAAAAATACTGCATGGCTCTTTAACATGAAGGGGTGGAAAAGGGATGGGCAACCTATTTACCTCTTGTGCCTCAGCTTCCTAATGAGGTACATTACCACGTGCTGCTTATCATATACTGATGCTGAAATTCCACGACCTGTAGTTTTCTCTGTCCATATTCACTATATTTTACTGCCTAAGAAAGAGTCTATAACATGTATTTCTTTAGTTAAATGGTGCCTTCTATCATTTTCAGATTGAATCCCCATTCACGTTCAAGAAAATCCCATGGGTTTCTTGTTTATTTTTTAAACTGTCTGATCTTTGCTCTCCAATTTTTGTAGATCTTTGGAGAAGCAGCAAGAAGTAACATCTGATGTCACATGTTCAGGCTTTTCTTACTCAAATGAAAAACTTCTTTTCTTGGACTGTAGAATTGTTCATTATTAGCATCTATATAAGTATAAATTTTAATACATACTTTCCATAAAACTTTTATATATTTTTCACCCATAGAAAAATAAGTCTGAACCAGACCAATGGCACCAACCCTGGTGCTCTGCATTCAAAGCCAGCCACATAAGAGATTTATTTCAGCAAACCCACAAAACACTATCTTCACATCCTATATTAAACATTAAAGACCAAATCCACAAGTTATCATGTGCCACCATGTGAGAGATCAAAAAAGTTAATGCAATGAGAAGCAGCAGCATACTTGCTCTCTAGTTGTGGCTAGCCTCTGATGCTATAGAGAGAAAACAAACTGAATGTAAAACACATGTATAATTGGGGAGGAGGTACAAGACTGTAGAGACCTCCCCAGTCCTTCAGAACAGCTGGACTGAATTCTAAGACGTTACTTTTCTAACATATAGATCACTTCTGTTTTGCCAAGCAATTTCTTCCATTACCTTGTACAGGTCCGTCTCCAACCATTACATACTTTCTCCCCTCTTGGAATACTATCTGGAGGCTCCTTCCACAACTTTTCCTCTGAGAAGAAAGTTTCTAGCTTCCCCTCCCTATTTCTTAGTTTCTTTTCCTCATTTCCCTAACCAACCTATCCATCTTTACAGACTCAGAATCACAGAATCATTTTGGGTAGGAATGGACCCAGTCAGAGTACAAAGTCAGCTACAAGGTCAGAGCAGGTTGCTCTGGGATTTGTCCAGTCAGATCTCAAACATCCCCATGAATGAAGACTGCACCACCTCTTGGGCAACCTGTCTGTCTTCACAGTGAAGAACTTCCTCCTTAAATCCAGTCAGAATCTCTTTTGCTTTAACTGATAACCACTGTCTCTTATTCTCCCACCTGCACCACTGACAGAATGACAAAGAGACAACAGACAAACTGAAGTGCCTATTCTAATTTAGGATCACAAACATCCACGGAAATATATTAATATTTCTTCTCTGTGTCCACTGAAAAGATCTTCCAAAAAATGTCACCATCACACTAGTTCTCTGGACACTGGCACATTATAATCAACGCTATAATCCACAAACTAGCCTTCGTTTCTCTTGCAGATTCACCAGTCCCTCTGTCCCAACTAGGTAAAATACCAAGTATCTGCCTAACTTTGCACGCTGTGCTAATAAGTTTCATCATCATGCAGTCTATAGCATCATTTAATTCTTCCTGTAAGACCAATGAGGCCACAGCAAGAGTAACAAGGTCTCCTAAATTTGACACACTTGCTAATTTTGTACGTAAGTACTCTGTTCTTACAGCAAAATGACTGATGAGGCTATTAAACATGATCTTTCTAAACTCTTGTCTCTGAGGCATCTTTTCATTCTGAAAATCTCCCTCTCAATAAAACCCATTAAATTTTCATACTTACCTCAGATTCTTATCTATCTCAATATTCTCATTTAAATTTCTATCATTTTGACCTTTAATAATTTCTAACAGGACAGTGTATCGAAAGGCTGTGCTGCAGCATGCCCATCATATTACAGTGCTCCAAGACATCTATTGCTTCATCAAGAAGCTCAGATGCAAACCGCAGACAAAAGTCATGTTACAGTTTAGCCTTCTTTCCACTTTCATCTGTCTTAATTACCTTCTCCTCCAAAATCCTTTTAAAAAGGGCACAGTGTTGGGATCAGACTAATTGGTCTATGATCACCCTGTTTCTTTTTGGACACACATTCTACAACAGTTATTCTTCAAGAAAAGTGTACTAGTCCTTGAATTCACAATTCATTAGAAATCTTTATTAAGAGACCTGCATATTAAGCCAATTCTTTAACCAGCCTGGAAGGGAGTCCTGGATCTCCCTCATTTTATCAGATGAGCGCTATGACTTCTGTTTCACCTCAGTTGTTGCAATCCCTTTACCCTACACAACTACAATTGTATCAGTCATTGTATCAGCAACTTTAGCGTAAGTGAGAATGTTATTGTAGGACTAAAGCCCTGCAATTTCTAACATAAAGCTCAACTATGCTTTATTTTAAATCCCGTACTAATAGTATTCACTTTTTGGGCAAGAAAGGCATTGTATATTCTGTTGTGTGCAGGTGCTCCATTAAGGTTAAATAACATTTATTTAAGACTGTTTCATTACTCACTAGCAATGAAATAACA